TTAAAATCTTCACTATAGCCTTATAGTGAAGTTGAAATCTAAGACATAGAGTTCGTTATAACAAGAGTTGACTGTATGGACAATTCATTTCTTAAGAGAATCAGAAATTATTTTTGATGAACCCACTTACAATGAGCTAAAAAAGAAGGTGCGTTATTTATTTTGCAAAATGAAAGGTAACTCCGGGTCAATTGCGATTGACTTTAGGAGAATTACTGGTTTGACAATTTAGTATCCACTCCAGGTCCTCAAATTAGGTGTCTTAAATTTGTTATTAATAAAAGTCTTTTAATTCTGAAGGAGGAATTAAATATGTATCTTTCTTTATTACTAAATAAATTAATGCACTGCTAACCTTGACTTTTATTTTTGCAACAAATTGAATCAGAACAAAATGTCTAAATGTAAAATTGAGGACCTTCTGGGAAGGCATAGTCAAGATAGTTAAAAATTCCAATAAAGAAAATGAGAACATATTTGTTGATGATGTAGAGTATTCCATAAAACCTGCAAATAAGGTGAGCCCAGTTAAGACTTAAAGAATAATTAATTACATTGATCTGACTTGTGACTTTTCCTGTATGAAAGAGATCAAGAAAAAGAAAAACAATATGCTATACTGAAAGTTCAGGAGATGAAATTAATTCATTGGATTCAAAATATACAGAAAAACCCAAAAAAATAAATAAATTTATTTTTTTTAGTTTTGCATGATTATAAATATTTGATTCTAATACTATTTTTGAAATCTATCAAGCAACAAAAATCAAGGAATTGATCTATAAAGCGATCATGTGGTAAAGCTGACGATACGCTTAGAAGTAACATTATCATACCCTCTTTGAACGAAAATATACCAAGTTTGATTTAACAAGCCCTGTTATTATTGAATAATTCGGAAGATAACACTTTGTGTGAAATCACGCAAAGTGCACTCCAAACTCTAATGCTATTTGATACTTTAGAAGATTTTGCCACTTCACGTGAAAGTACACTATGTCCAATAATTTAACCAGCCCAATCAGCCCAGATTTATACACTTAACAAACCAATTGTAACAAAAGATATATGTAATAGATATTTACCATACCTTGTTTGTATATTTTGCACAACAATAAATTACATCAAGGAAACTGTCGAAGAGGGAGCTTATGGAGAAATCGAAAAGTTAATTCATCGATTTGTTTTGCAGGAATCTTTTATTAAGAAGCTTGAATCGATATTTGATACCGATTATGACAAAATCGAATCAAAGATCTTTGATGAGACAATTGTTAAAGGGAATAACCAGACAGAGGAGGCAAGGTTCAACTTCTTTGTATGGTACACACTCTTAGATTTCAATGCAAACTTTAAATACAGATTACCAAGAGTCCTAAATCGCGATATATCTGAGCGAATATTTATTGTCAAATGCTTATTTCCTATATTCTAAGTATTTTGAAACGCATTTCCAAATATTAAGTACGAATGGATTGAGAAAAATGTCACTTTAATAAAAGAGGCTAATAACATGTTTTTAGATAATATCAGTCCGCGAAAGATGGATTTGCTTGTTTTACGTTTGTCAGATGGAATGGAAATTTTGAGCACAGAAATTTCAGGTCCTTCATTTAAAGCCACAATCACACACACTAGAGTTTATATCCGTTCATCCGGATATCCGATTAACTTGTATCTATTTCAATCCGGATATCCAGATAATTTATCCGAATAATATCCAGATATCCAAGATATTAACCAGATATCCTAAATTATCTGGATATCCAGGATATCTTTTGAATAAAAATTTTATTTAAGGTTTTTTTTTTCATAATTGA